AGAGCGGGATGATTGTACGAAAATAAGGAGTGGAAATTGTGAGCGATATTTATAATTCGATGATCGCGCTGTGCGCATGTGTGCACGGAGATATCAGTCGTATTATGTATTTGCGATAACGCTGTCGTTACATTTATTGCGGTACAGCCAATTAAATCGGCGATCTTTGAAATCGGACGATGCATTTCGCATTTAAAAGCGCGTTTAACGGATCCCGCTGCTGTTTGTTGTTAGAAAATTATCGAAATGCGGTCGGAACGATGTATGCGGAATTACGCGACGACTATGCGCGTTATTTATGACCGCGTTTCGGATCTATATGCGGTAAATAATTTTCGCCATTATCTGCCGGCGAAAATCATTGCCCAGTGACATAACAGTGGAAAATTTTGTTGCGAGACCGAGGTTCATTTCACAAGATCGACGACATTTATTTAACGAGAAAATTCTGCGCAAGGAGCGAAGCAGAATTTAAATAGGGCTATACTCTGTCAATCTTTGACACCGTATAGCCATTACGCGCGTTTCCTCTTCGATTTTCTCAGGGTCTCGATCGAATCTTCGGGTACGGATCTCCCCTACGCGATTTTCGTCTACGCGAGGTATTTCGAGGACGGTTGTTTTATTAATCGGCCCACCTGACCACGTCAAAGTCCCCGGTCGAGTGGCAACGTTCGATTAAAGACACGTACAGTCGGGCGCGTTAAAAATTGAATCGGTGGCTCGGATGTTGGCCAATCGTCTGGCCTGTTCTGGATCGATCGATCCTGTCGACCAGCCGCGAAGAAATGAAAGGCGAAAATAAGAAAAATTGCACGTACTCCTTGCTCGGGTATCCTCGATACCGAAGAGGACGAAGCCAATCTCCTTGGAAAACATCCAAGTTTACTGGATCTCAATAGTAACAACCTCGCGTACATGGTTGCCTCTTCAACTCCTTTCCTGCTTTTGCACACGTTCTCACAGGCGCGACACAATTACGCGATTTTTCTAATCGAACCACGTCGTCCGATTACTCGTCCGTGCTCTCGACCAAGCAGAGGTTACCGATAGAGAGAAACCGGTTGACAGAGAAGCGTGGACTCGGTCAAATGACAAGTCGAAGGAAGATGCTAGGAATGGAAAATCAGACAGAGGAATTTCTTCAGCGAATCTCTGTCCGCGGGATCTCTAGATAGTCTCTGGGAAAGGAGAAGGCGAGGATAGAAGAAGACGAGAGAGAGGATGTCGAGGAGAGGACTAGATTCGGAACATGGACCTCGGTAGCGAGGTGGAGCGGTCGCCACGATGGTCAACGACACACTACTACTCGCTGCTCGACGAAATCGCGGCAGAAAACGATGTCGGCGTTATCGCGAGCGAAGATTAGAAGCCTATTCGAGTAGAAAAATGTGACTCGGTGACTGGGTGGGAGATGGAAATTCTTCTCCGAGAGAATTTGACGTTTCAGACGATGATCGACCTCAGCGTGTCTCCTCGTTAAAGACGCTGGCGCGCCAAGGCCACGCAAAGTCCGTCTCTTTGTGCGCCCCCTTGTGCAAAGAATTCGTATGAACGCATGCAGCAATGGCAGCAGCAGTGGCCGCACGAGTCCGCGAACTATGACCCGGGAATCGAGCAAACAGTATCGCTATCTGACTCTCGTTTGACTCATTCTTTTCACCGTCTTGCGTCGCGACCGCGCACCGCATGTATGCGTGCGATAGATTCGTGTGCGATAATTCGTGTGCCATGAGCAGAGTATTCGCGCGTGTACGTGCAACCGAGAAAGACCGATTGCGAGTTCGACGCTTGTTTTCCTGGCCTTCGTAAATAGTCTATTTGCATTCGTTATTCGACAGAAACTCGCGGCTCGTTGGGGATACGATATCAGCATGGCGGGAGAGTTCACCGGGGAATTACGGTTTCTTGCGACGAGCAATATCGCCGAGGTTTTCAAAGGTACAGCGCGGATGTGCAAGCCCAGTGTCGCGTTGTTCGCTCGATCTGTACCTTCGATCATGCCATGCCGTCTTTGCGGGTATCACGCGCAATGTAGCGAGCACGGAGGAACGAAACGCGTTCGATAAGAAGATATTTTTCAAGTACACTTCGCGGTATCGTCAGAGAGTGGATGAAACGTTAAGCCGGTCGTTTTCAGAAAGATGGAGGAAGAGAAAAAATCGTGGACTAAAATGCGAAGGAAAAATATCACCGTGACGGTCTACTACCCTCTTTAGCTTGCTGGATGTAGAACTCGTTGTTACGTCTTTTCAATGGCGGAAAGGGAAATATCGGTTGGTGATGCGCGGCTCGAAATGAAGGGAACGAGCAGAAGGACACAGAGTCACGTAATTATGAAAAATGTATCGGAGATGCGAATTACGGAGGGTTGCTTTCGTGCCGAAATACATGAAATATTCCACCGCTGTTTACGCGAAGCTATCCTCGGTTTCGTTTGTCCAGCGAGTAATTAAAATTCGCTGAAACAAGCTGCACGTTAGTTGTTTGACGTACTTGCTGAATCTCTAGCCGATTTTAACTATTTGCGTACCAGAGGGTTTTCGAACAACGTGGGCGAAAAATGATAATACTCCTTCGATTATGTGTCGAAAAAATCCGAGGACTGCTATAGCGCTCGTTTTAACATCTTTGTTTAACGCATTGTTGCCCGGTCACGAGTTAATTCGTCTTCATACCCAAACGCAGCTGACCAGTTACGAATAAACTCGTGATGCGCTTTTGTTTCGAGATATTTTGTTCAGAGATATGTTTGCAAAACCTGCCATGTACCATTACACGTGAGTGATTGCCAAATCGTTCATCATACCAAAAAGAAATGTTAAAAGTTAAATATTAAATAAAATTTATTACAGTTGACGGGGGTTCGCCCCCACGTTTGTTGAATAGTCGAATTAGTCGCAGGTATTCTCTATGACGGTCGTGTAGTTAGAAAGGATGATAGGAAAAGGAAGGGATGCATTTCGTCTCGGGCCTGTTAGTGGACTCATTAATAAGGCTCTAAATACCCTAGCAGGCCCTGTCTTAGACCGGAATACTATTGGAAGGTCGGGAAGTCGTGGATAAAACGTATAGGAATTGGGCCTGCTAGTGGACTCATTAATAAGGCCCTAAATACCCTAGCAGGCCCTGCCTTAGACCGGGATACTATTGGAAGGTCGGGAAGTTGTGCATAGGATGTATAGGAATTGGGCCTGCTAGTGGACTCATTAATAAGGCCCTAAATACCCTAGCAGGTCCTGCCTTAGACCGGAATACTATTGGAAGGTCGGGAAGTCGTGGATAGAACGTATAGGAATTGGGCCTGCTAGTGGACTCTTTAGTAAGGCCCTAAATTAGCAGGCCCTACCTTAGACCGTGATACTATTGAAAGGTCGGGAAGTTGTGCATAGAATGTATAGGAATTGGAGGTTTTCCGGAGATTTGCGAGAAAATCCCTGAAGTCGGAATGCATCTAGTGGCGAGGATCTGAATGATGGTCGCTGTACAATTTATTTATACCGTTTCACTTCCACTTCTAATTACAAAATAATAGCCGGTGACATGAGATAAATTCCGAGTAAAATTCCCGCAACGTAACTTACGGAATTGCATAGTGTGTGCACTCAAAATAAGCGCGTTTCGGATTCATACAGTTGTCTGTATAGGTCAAATGCACTGGGATTTTTCGGCACGAAATCTGAAGAGCGTGAAAGCGACTGGTGATACACAAACGTTATGGTTAACCACTTGCGCTGGAAAGACGTGTCACGCACGTTGTAATGCTTTTGTCACAGAATCGCGAACGACGTGGTATACACGTCGTTAGGCAATTGTTACAGAAATATTGGACCGTTCTGTCTGTGAATTTCTTGCCACTGCAAGTGGTTAATCCAACGTGATCGTCACCGGTAAAAAGAAACCGGTGGATCCTACGTGTTCCTCGAATTCGTTGGAAAAAGGGGACAGGCTGAGGAACTCTAAGCCCACCACACCTGTCCCGTAACCGTTGTTCGTCCTTTTTCGGCGAGTCGAAGCTTGGATTTTCAGATTTAACGAACTTGCTTGCTGGGAAAGATAAAAGCTGACAGGAAATGTTTCGTGAGAACTGCAAGATTCGTCTCAGTCCTGCGACCTGCTTTCGACTATTCGATTCATTTCCTTCTTGTTCTAACGATATTTCGCTTATAGATTCCAGAGAGCGTGGAACGACAGGGCGGTTTATCGATATTCCTGACGAGTCGTGTTCCAAGGATGTCGTGGAATACGAAGATTTCCCTGCGAAAATAAGTTACACCCTCTGAGACACGATTGTGGAACAGTGTTACTCGCTGGCAGCCAAGGCAGAGAATCCTTTCACGGAAAGCGCGACCCTGAAAGATCCCCGAACGCCGATGAAGAGGGGTTGCTGGGTCGCTGAAAAGGGGCTGCAACGGAAGGCGTGCCACGTCGTCGGGTACCGTCGCCTTGCCAGGGAATATATCTCCTTACAATTTTTCGATATAGTCAGAGTTTACTTTCCCATGATAAGTGATTCGTGTATTTTTCGCGATTACCGACCACTTCCGGTCGGGGGATGTTTCCACGTCGAGCGACGGTATCTTTCACGCCACTTGAAACATTTCATCTGTGATACCCTCTTTATTCCGAGCTTCTTAGATATATTTCACGGGTACAGTCGATGCACTGAATATTATAATAGATCAACAATCTTCTTCAAACTTTGTCTTTAACAAGTTGATAATAGAAGCTGCGATTAGCCTAATATCTTCGCGAATGTTGCATCTGTTTTTGAAATCAGGGTTATTAACGAGTTGACATTTACAAGACCGCAACGTTAAGTTTTTGATTTATCGATCATACTTAAATGAAAACTACTTGCGGTTGCATCTCCATTTTTATATAGTTTCTTATCTCTGTAGGAATATTTTTGATGAGCAAACGTAGGGAATAAGAAATGGTGTTTTATTCCAAAATATTTTTCATTTATTTATTTATTTATTTATTAAACGAGGAAACTCAATAGAATACAAAGAAAATGAATGCATACGGAGTTTACAGGTTTCTTAAAATCCAGAGAAACACCAAAAAGTTCTGTTGCTTGATTATTATTATTTGATAAGGGAGTGATTCGACAAATAGGATCGGTATTTGAGAATCGTGATTTGTAACATACAGTCTGGAATGTACGCGATGTTCTAAATGCTCGTATATATTATTTATTACGAACTAATAGACTAGACTAATAACTGAACTATGATGTCTTAGGACAGCCCTTGCACCCTTATTTAACCCTTTGCACTCGTGAGGCTCCCTTCAGTCGCCATTTGATAAAATTTCGAAGCTCGATATTAATTAATATGTCAAATTTAAGATAATATAATAGTGTGGGAGGTATCAAAATTAAATAATTCTACCTGTCATTTATTATACGATTTCTTACTTACTGCTAGAAAGATATCATCAGCCTCATAGCAGAAAATTTTTCAAATCGTCGAATGCAAAGTGTTAAACCTTGCACTCTATCTTCTTTCATACTCATTCGACCTGAACTCTAGGCTGCTGTTTATTACTCATCATCAGCTAGGTAGGCCCAAGTGTTTCTTTGCATTCATTTTCAAACCCTAGCATTCCTACGTGTCATCAATGGGTTAGGTTAGGGGAATTAGTTGTAGTTGTAAGGTTTGGTTAAATTAATTGTTAAGTTAGTTGTTTAGTTAGTTAGCTGTAAGGATTGGTTATTATGTAACAAATAAAAGGCTTTTATTAGAATATAATACTATTGTACCAGAAATGGGGAGTCCATTTTTACTTTCCTGTCTGGAGCAATTAAGTCGATATTAGGCATTTTTTAAACGTCGCGTTTTCAGGTCTGCTCGTAAATTTGGTCGCGATATCACGGTGTGTATCCGATCGGCAGAATGTTCGTGTCATCCGATCGTATTCTGTGTCGATTATTGCTGGTAAGAATCATCGCTAGCACTAAATCAAACCAGCACGCAATATCGCATTCGTAGTCGATTCGTTGCGTCGATACACGGCTGTTTATCATTCTCACTGTCAAATTCATTGTTCCTGCTGGAGTACTTATTCGTCATTTTGGCCAGCGACTTGATGCATCGGGTATGCATTCCGTCTTTGACGAAATTTATCCACGCGCTTGTCAAGAGCACGGGGCTAATGAGGATGAAAAACAAATTTAATTAGTCAATTCCCCTTAATTAGGTTGGCAATCCGACGATCACCAGGACAAGTTAAGCGTTTCCGTAAATACACAGTGCGGCACGCGCGTCGCGCGTGACTGTAATTGCCGATAAAAATAATTAACGTTGCTCATCGTCGTTTAAACCCAGCTTTATGATCGGTCTCGGAAGAAGAGAACGTTTTCATTTACGATTCCCCCTTGTCCCTATTTTATGGCCGTAGAACACGCGTCTGATAATTTACAGAAGAGAATCCCGCGGTACGCGATTAAGAAATAAATTATCCTTAATAGTTCTCATTTTTCCGAGCTAAGTTTCCATGCGAACGAGACGAACGATCGGAGAACGATCGGAGAACGATCGGAGAATGATCGACACTTTGGGGGGGAAAATTCGCGTCGGGTAAAGAGACGGTTAAAGGACCCGTTCGCTCCCTTTTCTTTCGATTCATATCGGGCCTGAGTTATTACGTCGAAAGTTGCGTTCGACAACACGCGAAAGCGTGAAAATACGGGGGAGGAGTGACGAATGGCTGGAGAAAAGCGGGAAAAGGAAGCGAGCAATCGTTGGCGAAAATGCGCGACCGTCAGAGGCATCTCATCGAGCTTTGTGTTCGATTATAACGTACGGAAACGCGAGGATAAGAGAGACGAGTGCGGATCAGCGTGATCCTCTACATTGTTCCAATGAACGGTATAGCAATTATCGAGCGTCCTATTCGATTGCATCGTACGAAAACTCGAGGATACAAAGTTAAAAAGAAGAACTGCTGGATCGTAAAAAGAAGAGGAAAAGAGAATGGTAGATAAAGGGGAGAAAGGATGGTCGAAAAAGTCGAAAACGCGAAACGAAGGTGCGCCAAGGGAGTCTTTTGTTCGTCATTTAAAACAAAGTAATTCGCAGCGGCGGAGAGTTTTGAAAGCTATTTAAAGTTGCCGGGGCTCGTCCGTTGTTGTTTCGTCGTCAATGGACAGTCGGTGAATTCACTTAAAATCAAGGAAACGTCCCCCTTTTTTCGCCTAATGCCTCAGTTTGGCAGGCAACAATTCGCGCGAGTCCGCCCGAATGTTCGCGGGAACAAAGGGGTAGCGGTTGGGCTTCATGCTAAATCCCATCCCGATCACGTTGTCTCGCATTTTTAGCCGCCAAGAGGAGATTACCGGCAAACGGTATTTGTTTAGACGAAATTCCACGACGCGAAGGACGGGTCGAATGGTTACTGTCAAAAAGATGGTCCCGGCCGGGCTGTTCGAATAAAAGCTTTTCATTTGTTGTTCCCTGTATCTCCCTAGTCACGTTATTCACCGTGTTCACGCCGTTAATTCGCGCGACCTTCGTGACAGAACGCGAATAATATTTATTACCGGAAGAGTGCAACGTATACGGAGCAACAGGAGCGACAGGGACAATGCTGCCAGAGATTATAACAACGTTCCGATAAGATGGCGGCTGGGAGAGTGGATAAACAGAGAGTCGTTTAAACGGTTGATCCTGTAAAGCCCTCTTCTTCGATACCGTTTGCCTCGATATCGAGACGATTGTCCGATGTCTCTGCCTATCGCTGCAATTATCTGTGTTTTCTACAATTTTTAATCAGTCCTTATCACCGGGTCATTCGCGGCATGTAGAATTGGACAGAGATTACATCGCCGCGTTCGATAAAGCGAAGGATTATCATAAGACCGTTTGTACTTCGAGAAACGCGACTCTTTCATAGCTCTTTCTCTCTCTCTCCTTCTCCTCTGTCGTATCGAAGACGATTGCTCGACGACGGAGACAATCGGAATGCAAATAGCAGTAGCGAGGCTTTTTCAAAGCCGAACGCGATCGTTCCGAAGGAAGATCGGCCGGCTATTTAGGCTCGCGGGTGTACCCGAGCGCCACGTTAAAAGCTACATTTCATAACCGGCAGCGCCAGCGCGCATAACCGTGATGGGGGATGAAGGGGGGTGCAGGGCAGGGGCGGGTGGGAGAAAAAATGGAAAAACGGGGAGGAGTACAAGCGGGAAAACAGAAGCACTAAAACTACGGCGAATCGTCGCGTATTCTGGTCTCCGCGACCCCTCGGCAAGCAACAAAAGCCTCCGGAAATCCCTGCCGGAGCCAGGAGCGCGCAAGCAAACAGAAGATTCATCCAATTAAACTTGGCGGGGAGAGGGGTGGGTGGTTTAACCACGCGTTTTAGAGAGATGTACTTCGACGCGAGCGTGATACGAGCGGGGCAAAAAACGTTCACCTGGGAAACGGACACGGAGGAACGGACAAAGCCGGACGAAAAAGCGAAAGAACCGGGAGAAGGAGCGAAATAAACGCGTGTCGCGGCGGAAAGACCGCGAGGAATAATGAGTGGGACATAGAAGTAGGAGAGAAGAGAAAAGTCAAAACAGGAAGAAGAGAGGAGTCAGGGGTTAGAGGGAGAGTGAACAGCGAAGAGGAGGCGCAAAAGGAGAAGGTATATAGAGAAGAAGAAACAGGGAAGAAAGTGGTAGGGGTGAAAGAGGTATCGGGGGTGAGAGAGAGAGAGAGAGAGAGAGAGAGAGAGAGAAGGTGAGGGAGGGGTAGGGAGAAGGAGAAGGAGAAGGAGAAAGAGAACATACGTTTTTCAGAAAACACCGCCCCCCAGATCTTCTCCCTCCTCCCCCGTGGCCTCTTCCTTTTCCCTCGGTCCGTTTTTCCCAATTCTGGCAGCTATACGAGAAGAGTTTTGTTGGACAGGGGAATCCGCGCATGTGCCACGGGGGTGGCAGCCTCGAGTGAAAGAGTGCAAGTGGATGCAGGCCTGTGCGAGCAAGAAGGACGAGGAGGGGTGTGCGCGCGGGACACGAGGGGGGTAATACGTGTGAGAGTACCCTGAAGAGTGGCGTCGGTAGTACGTGGTGGGAGGAGGGAAACGCGAGGGGTGAGAGGCGACCGTTCACGTCTTTTCGACGTCGACGCAACCCCGTTGGCGCAGAATAGCTGCTCAGTGCTCGTCGAACGGCGCTGTGTTGCGACGGGACCATGCCGCCGCGCCCTGCACCACCGATCAACCGATCTCAGGTACGCGAGACTCATTATCATTCCCGAGATATCGATACATCTTCTTGGTTCACTCGTTCCCTCCGGTTACACACGGTTTTCGGGTGGCTAGTTCCTTCTAGCGTGGTTAGTGCATCGCCGAGCGAAACGTGTCCGCTCACAGAGCATAGTAGATCGAGTCTCACGGGAGTGAGATAAATCTGTTTCTCGTGGCCAAACTTTGCCAGTCCCTCGCTCCTCGATCATCTGTGCGATTTCCTGTGCGTCCGATAAGAAACCGAAACGCCTGGTCATCCTGGTTAGCAGTGCGAGAAGCTTGCTCTCGTCCTTTGCCGTTCGTCGTTCCGTTCTACTTTCTGTTATGATTTTGTGCAGTTTGGTGGCTTCGAGCAGCAGGCACGCGAGGCCGGAGCAGTTTTCAGTTTTTTGGTGAAACTTGTTGTACCTAACGTCCTCGTGGATACGCGAGGATTGATCGGTGAACCGAATCGAACTCGTACGTCGATCGACCGGTCCCTCCGAGGTTGTCGAGAAGGCGATCTTCCAGCGAGGCTCGATTTAAACTCGATTTCATATTCCCTTCCATAATTCCGTGCGATTCGTTACGGGGTTACGCGCAATCATCGATCGGCTATCGATTAATTATAAAAAAAGAAACAGAAGAAACGGGACACCGAGAGAGGAAATTATTATCGTAGGAGCCAGATGCGTCTCCAGTCGGTGTCCTCCTTTTTTCCAACAGAAACGGCCTTTTGTACTCCGCTTACCCGACATTTCACGAGCACGCTGCGAACCCTTTCGATCGCGTTTCGATCGAATCTTCCGTAAAGACCATCGCGAGTCCCGTGGATGTTACAATCCATCGGGAAACTCGAGACAGAGTGCAACGGCGAAAGAGCGAAAAGCGTTATTCCCCTCTGGAGAGTTTTCGCGATGTCACCAAAGGGGGTGAGGTACATTTTGGTAGAGGGTCCTTGGGCAGTTTGCGGTCTCTGCTTACTCTCCTCTCGTTAAGGGCGTTTTGTGTACTCGCACGGTGCTACGTGTAAAATGATTAAAACCGTTTTACGCGTTGCAACACTCCGCTTTTGTCGCGTGTGCGTTTGCGTGCATGTCGAAGATCAAAGAAACGCGGAAGGATTGTGCGACGGATTTCCAGTGGATTCAGACGGGGGATGCTTTTGATAAAGGTGTCGGTTGAGCGAGAGACGGTTTACCTCGTTTTCTTGCCAGTGGGGACCGATCTCTTTCCCCGTTTAATGCTTCCTTTGCTCGCATGTGTACCGCCGCGTGGCCATCCGTGTTTTATCTCTTCCACCCCTTTCACCCCCTCGCCGTCTCGTCTGCTCTCCACTCCCGCGTCCTTTTCCCTTACTAATTAGAATATGCATATACGCGAGCGCGTTATTGAAATATTTGTCTCGAGTTGCCCGGAGAATGGCAACATTATTGGCAGAAAGTTTGGTTGCCCATCCCTCCGCGATTTGCCTGAAGTAGCCAGTTTGCGTTTCATTGGCCCGTGTTCGACGTGACGCTCTTGACTTAGGTGAAAAATTAAATTAATGGAAAATGAAGGGAACAGAACTCGTGGAAAAGTTGAAGTATTTAGTTGATCGGTTAAAGGTATTGGTTTTTTCCGATTGGTCCGCGCAAGAAAAGAGGTCCACCTCCCTTTGATTCGCGGCGTAACTTTCTTACGTGAACGTCCTTAGCCTTACGGCTCGTAAATACGCGCTCGTGGAAAAAAGGGGGAAAGAAAAACGAAAGGCGAATAAAATTAAGTCGACTGGTTAACGTAGTTGCAAGTCCGTTTGCAGAGATCGCTCGGACGAATCGGTTTTCTCAAGCCGATCAATCGAACCGTCGCGAACTGCTCAAAAAGTTCTTTAACGTCGAGCGATTTAATTCCCCGGGCTCTTACTTTCTCAAGAACACGATCCATATTCACGACGTATCGACGCGATGAAAAACCGTTTCCCCCGTTCCCCGTCGTTGAGAGAAAAACCGAATTAAACGACGGAAATGGAGAATCGTTTCGGCGAAAGTAACATTGGCGTAGGAAAATGAAACGTGTCTGCTTCTCGTACACCTATTTTGTTAAACCGTACTCGAGATTTTGCTTCGCGTTTTACGCACGCGAAATTCTACGGGAAATGGTACCTGTGCCATTTCGATATTCGAGTAATTAAATCCGCATTGTCCGAGAATCGTTATTTTCGCGTGGCAAATTCCTGCCGATGACGAATAAAAGCGCGTACACGAAGGGAACAAGAGATTATGGGAAAGAAACGGGCGAGGGGGAATGCAAATGGTATAAGAAAATCGCGGAGCAGGGGAGGGAAAAAAAGGAGCAACATCTCGTGTTTCTTTTTCGCTTGGCTATGCTTGGTGGTAATACACACGGCCGCGAGTATCTCGAGCGCGACGCAGAATAGATATTTCATTGTTATGGGCTGGAATATTTTTCGCTGACAGGAAATAATGCTCGTCCCGTCTTGTCTCGTTAGGAGAATTCCTGTAGCTATTCTTGCATGTCACTCGTGCGCGGCCTTTATGCCGCGCGACCGGATTAATGGTACAGAAAGAGGAGATACTTTTCGGTTGGCCGGTCACGAGGGCTGCATTCTTGCTTCGCGACGAAACAAAGTTCAGCTCCTCGCGTTCCGGCGACCCTTCGTTGGAGAAAAAGGGGAAAGAAGGAGAAAGACGGGATCGAGGTTGCAGACCGATATGAAACTTTCCCTGGCCATTTGTACGCCGGTTCCCGTCTTGCAAGTTTCACCGCGCGCGAGCCAGAAGACGCCGCCATGCCGGCGAAAGAATCATAATGGGGGCGGATGTTCAACAAGTTCGACGTTTAACGTCCGACTATTCTCATATTCATCGTGCACGAACGTTCTGGACGTTAAATCGGTTCGGAATTGCGCCGACATCCCTGCTGTTCTCGCTCGCCGCAATCAGAGCGCCACCTTTAAATCACCCCCTGTCCTTAATATCCTCGGGGTTATTTAATAAACATTTCCCACGGCGGTGGTTAAGCCGGCGATAGGAGGATTTCGCGCTGGGTTGAAATTTTCGACGCGTTTCACGATCAACCTTCCATATCGCGTTCCCGGATTGCGTGCATCCGTCGCGTCGTTAGGCTTCGATAAACGTGTACTCGCCACCCCTCGATTTTGCCCTCTCCCCTTTATTCTTGCTCTTTTTTCGTCATGCCAGAGGAAGGTTTTGCACGTGTGTTTCGATGTGTTCCGAGGTGTTGGTGAAATTTCGCCTTGCAGGGGGAGAACAGCATAGGTTATTGATTATCGTGAATGGCTTTATAAATAACCGATCGTGTAGGAGCAGCCGCCGGACGGCGCGTAAATATCGCGCTCGCTGGGGTGATTCTTTAAAATCGCCGCGCCGCCATGGAAGAACCTGCCGGGACACGGGATGAAATCCGGCCGTATGTTTGATCGATACGAAATTCGCCTTCGATTCTCATTTTGCCCTCTGTTATTCGTCCTCTAGTCGTGGCGACGCGCGGAAACGGACGCGTCGGACGCGGGCGGACTCGATACGCGAGGGAGAAAGCCTAAAACCCCGTTTACATTCGCCTGGTTTGCGCGACGTCGCGGACAATACGTGGGCCGGGGTAAAATTTCGCCGTGTACACTGCTTAATTTTCCCCCATTCTTTGAACTCGATCTCTTTTCGGCTGGCCCGTGTCGGTCGTGATATTAAATTCCTTCGCGGCGATCATTCTTTTTCTCTCGTTTCCACCGGGGAACCATGTTTTCTTTGTGCACCTATGAAAATGGCGGCCACAGATGGGACACTTTGTTTCGTCATGGACGAAGCCGAATGCATATTTAAATTGCAGTTTAATCGAGAACGCGCACACGTCGATTTTTTATCAATTAACGAAGACTGAAAGCCGCGAGCGCTCGTCGCTCGGGTATGCGCTCTTATTTACGTAACGAGTCGCGCTCTGTTAAATTTCCTGAGAAATAAGGACGTAAATAGTGTCGTGTTTTGCGTCAGTTAAAATAGCTTTAATAAGGTAAGTGGCAACTCGAGTGTCTCATCGGCTGTTGCTAGATCGTCGTCGATTGTACTCCAGCCCAACCACTTCCGTACCATTGATTTTCATTCAATGCCCGGGTTAGCGAAACAAATGAAATAGCGCAAAACAAACACGCACCACGCAAGTCGCGTGTACGTCGTGAAATTGTCATGTTCCGCGGACAATATCGCCGTATGCCCTTCCTTCTCGGAAGCAGTTTCAAAGCACCGCTCGGAATTAATATTTTCTCCTCGTCACGCAGCAACCGGATAAGGAATAATTGATGTAACGCTGACGTAAATATTTACCGCTGAATGGAACGTGTTTTTATTCATCCCTTCGCGTCTCGTCTCGTCTTTGCTCATCTCCTTGATAAATTTGCTGCATCGTTTATCCGGAACGCGACTAATTTCCATTTCACCCCGGCTGACGTTCGAAATCGGTTTATCATTTGGAATGTCGAGAAGCTGACTTAATCGGGGTAATAAAAATAGCAGAAAGAGGGATGAAAGAAATTGACAATGAAATTGTTACGACATTTACGTCGCGCCATGAATAGCGACGAGGAAAATGGCGGTGACTAATAAAGGTTCGATCTTTGCGTAGTGTCCGATCAGACGCGACTGTTAATAACTCCTCCGAGCTCTCGTATTTATATGGAAAAGTCAAAGGTAGGATGGAAAGTCAATGATTCGCCAAACTTTCGATACTGGGGGATATACAATTCCGGTGACATTTTCCTCGATTGTTAATGAAAAGGACTATCCGACGATTTGTACTTCTAAGCATGTCGATGGAAACTACGCTCGCGAGTTCTTCTTCCGCAACGACAGAATTTCCAATACCGCTGCTTATAAAGACAGATTAATAGTCGAGGTTTCGATTATGTTTCGTCTTTGTAGCGACACAGCCAGGAAAGGTATCCCTATTCTTTTCGATTGGCGGCGTCTGATATGCAAATGGCGGACGAGCG